ATATATATATATATATATATATATATATACACATACATATATACATATATACATACATATATATATACACACACACACATACACACACATTCTATATATCGTATTCCGAGAAGACTGCGTCCTATGTTTCCGTATCTATAAATCGCGACCTAAGAAGCCGTGCATACGAATTATAATACCATATTAGTTTCGAATACAGAGCTCCAGAATATTTGTTCTCCTCAGTTATTCTGACGAGACTCGAGAATTTGTATTTCTAGATCCCATATATTACATATAGCGCGTAATATATTGTATATTATTATACAACATATTTATATATTGTGGAATTATATGCCGAAAGCGCGAAGTGAGTCGTTTGGACGAGATTTGGACGCGCGCACTCGCTTTTTATTTACTATAAGAGGACTAAAAAAATAGTCATTTTATATCGAATATTTGCGCGATGTACAAGTTGTACGATGTGTGTATGTGTGTGCGCGCGCGCGCGTGTGTGTGTGTGTGTGTGCGCGTGCGTGCGTGCGTGCGTATGTATGTTGCGTGTGTGTGTGTATTAGTAGACGTGTTATAAAATTAAATGACTCGATTTATATTTCGTAAACGAGACTACCGACCAATTTTAGTAATTTTTATTGTACTATTTATCGAATTTAATTATTTTGTAAGCGCAGTGACGCTTATCCGTTACCACCAGTTAGTATCATTCTTGTCATCTCTCATTATTGTGTTATTTCATATATATAAGTATGCAGATATTTTGGAACTATCTCCTTTAGATATAACTGTAGCTCATTATTAATAGATAGATGGTCGGTAGCGAAACAATGCAAAAATGTATAATATAATCGCAGCGGAGAAAAACTCGACCATAGCAACAATTAAGACCACATAGCCCATAGTGGCTAACGTAAATGTAATGAAAAGTTAGAAACAATGTTGCTGAAGACAATGATCATGACGTTAATTATCATTGCCAATCAATTATACAAACATTATATAAAGCTGAAGGAGCGGCGAAAGACTGAGACAGAGAGAGAGAGAGAGAGAGAAAGAGAGAGAGAAATGATGATGATGATGATGATTGTAGTAACGAACTAATCGAGATAAAAGAGAAAAAAGAAGAGATGAAGAGATCACAATAATGACGATAAGTTATAACGCTGATATTGTTAATGTTGTTGATACTTGACGAATCATTGTTGTTGATGTTTGTTTCCCCGTGAATACTATACTCTTCTCGCAAGCTATTTATTCATCGTAAGCTCTCATGGCTGCTCTGCATGACCTTCCGAACGGGCGTACCAAATAGTTTCTACCAAAGACTATATCGAGTGATGTGCACGTTAATTTGTTACGCAGGTAGACACACAGCGTCGACAGCTTTTGACACACGAACAACACACATCAATCAAAATATACATGTCATAAAAAGTGAACTTGCGCGTTCGTAAAAAGAACTTGCGCTATAGATAAATGTATAGATGCGTCTCCGACACGCATCGCTTTTTCCTCCATCGATTTCAATTCAAAACACGCATCACATTAAATAATTGAAAATACACGTTAAACCAAAGCAACGTTCGTTAACTACCTTAGAGGTTTCCAAGTACAGTTGTACCTTTCTTTTTGCAAATATCGTCACGTTCATTCGCGTTAATCCTTTATCGATAATCTATGATGTCCGTCACATTTTTTGCGCATTGTAAATTGTAACTTACGTACATATATGCGAATGACTTAATGATATTTACGTGCATGTACGGAAGATATTGTCGTTCCGAGATAAGAACAGAATAATGCACGTATTTATTCGCTTATCGTGTACAGTAAAAGTAACATAGAGCTGTAAACATCTGCACATATAAATCTTTATTTTCCGCATTAATAATGTATCTAAATATGCGTGAAATGTTAGCTCAAATATTCCTGACTTTGGGGGTTTTTTATCTTCTTTATAATGGTTAGTAAAAATTAATAAAAAATTATGTGTATATAATGTGTTTGTATACATCAAAGTGCGAACGTATAGAAATGTTCGTATTAGTAGAAGAGAGACGGAAGCGTCTTCTCTCCCCCCTTCGGAAGAGTCTGCAGTAAATTGTGTAAATGACTGAGTATTATTTTTAACGTGTGCTAGATGATAGCACATATACGGACATTCCAAAAGGATCTTCTATAAATGAGGGAACGGAGAAAAAAAATAAAGAAAAAAGGACACTCGTAATCGCACGTATATGCACGCCATAAATTAATATGTAGCAACTTTCTGGACATGCCCAATATATTGAAATTATATATATTAAAATATAAATGTACACAAAAATAGGAAAAATATTACAAGGTTTCCGAGTAAATAGAGCGGCAATATATAAAGATATTTGAGTACGATGATGAGCTGTGCTCCGACATAATCTTTTCCTCGAAGAATATTGGTCGTTCTTTAACTCAGCTTTTTCAATCTATCTACGTCGATTCTACGTTACATAAATTCAAGAAATTAAGCAAGAAATTTGTATAATTCGATTTTATAATATTCATACTGTGTGTCGAACTTTTATATATATATATAAAAATACGACACACAGTATAAATATTATAAATATTTTATATATATATATATATATATATATAACTCTATGTTAATTTTCATATACTGACTTCAACAATACACTTAAAGGCATTTCACATATTAGAATTCAGAATGATACGTATGCTTTGAAAAACCAAAACATTATAAAGAATTCGCATATAATTACCAACGACACATATACCCAGGCCAAATATTCATATACAGATTCCGTGTAGATGGAAGATGAAATCGATACGTGATGAAGTGATATAGTCTTTGAGTTGAGTCTCTCTCGTTCTTTTCAACTAATCAGTAATCTCTATTACTGTACATGTGTTGTCAAAATGGAAGGCGTTTGAAGACATTGTTAAATAAATGTTATTATAGATTAGATGAGACGAATAACTTTTTTTTAGCCACTTTGTCACTAAAGGATTAGAGTAAGATCTTTTATAAGAAAGACAAAAAAGCTTACTATATACAGAGTATCTAATCGCATACAGAGTGCACTGGGAGATTCCATGAGAAACAACTTTTTTTTCTTTACGTGCTCATCAAAACCACGAAACACATACGAATAATGTAGATTGTTCATCTTCTATCTTATTTATTACGCAACTGTATATAGAATTGATTCGCTATTTTAAATAAAATTTGTCTGATATGAAAAGAATTTCTTACCGATGCCATTGTGAAAGAACAATTGAAAATTAAATAATATGTTGGAATGATACATAAATATTTTTATATATCATTATATGAAGCATTCGTGTTCCAATCGTGTTTAAAAACAAATTTACAGCTTTGATAAGGGCCGATTGAATATTTACGGCAAATGTTTGAATAAGTTCTTTTCGAAGCAGTAAATGTTACGCATAATTGCGTAACATTTACTGTAATAAAATTTTTGCGATGAAAGGGAAAACATGGTTTACATGGCTCCCATGATATTTTATCATCTTTAAATCATTTAAAAACTATTGTTTCGATGCAATTTTGGTAAAGGAAAAGGGTGCTAATTTTTATACAAAAAATCTTCCAGTACACTTCATGTATGTTTAATTCAGGACATCTTATATATTACTCATGAACATACGTGTGTTATCCCCATTGTATATAAATTCATGATTAAATTTATTTAAATTTAAAATAAATTTTTCTAAAAACAAGTTAATTTGTTAATTGGCTTGACCAACATATAAATTGAACAGCGCTGTATTAGAAGAAAAGAGAGAGAGAGAGAGAAAAAGACTATGTTCAAAGATCGTTTTTTTGTTGGATTATTCTCCGCAAATCAGCAAACCTTAACAGTAACTGTCGACCGTAGACCATGGATATAGAAATAAAAGAATGCAATCTAAGCTCGCGGAGGGAATTCCATTGTGGCAACGAGTTGATATATGAAGAATTTTGATTGGATATTATTGTAGCATATATTATAGTATGTGCCATGGAGAATTTCATCATTTCAGAAGTTAGACGACGAATAATATCGAGATGTTCGCGAATATCTGAGCAAATATACAGAGTGTTCCAAACTAATTCTCGGTTGGCGCGGTATGCGAGTAAAACGGATAAAACTGAGCAGAAAAATCATGTGCCATTTTGCAAAATAGTTCACAATTGTTACCGAGAAATTAATTATTTTGTCTCAGCTAGTGAGTATACGGAAACGGTAAGCCGAAATCTGTATAAAGAAAAATGGCTTACTTCTGAAGATCTAGAAACGCTGAGCATCAGTTGATTTCTACAGGCGGAGTAGCGCAGTGAATAGCGAACAGTATATGACGAAATAATTTTGCACCGAAAAGAATCATGCCTTTCGCTATTTCACCCGTTCCGCCTGCACACCACGAAAATCGAGATTAGTTTGGGACACCTAGTGTATACGAGGGTCGTTTGAAGAGTAACTTGATTCGGGTATCCATACAGACATGAACAACGATTGTGTGTGTGTGTTTATATATATATATATATATATATATATATATATATATATATAAAGAAAAAATCTTTAAATACTAAATCTCAAATCGCATCTCATTCTGAAGAAGTGAAGTGAAATGTTCATGAAACATTTGTCGCAAACAAATCCATGAAAGACGCGGTGATGATTCGGAAGACAAAATAAGATTTTTTAACATATTAAAACACTTAAAATCAATGAACGATTCAAACTGTACGATTTAAAGAAACGAATAGTATGAATAGTATGAAAGATTGATCAGGCCGTCCGTGTTCTGTTAGAATGAAAGGGACAGTGAATGCAGTGCGTAACCGTTGCAATCTTCTGCAAGAAAAAATTATTGCGCGCGAAATAACCCCCCCACGGACTGTATCACAAATTATTCGCCAAGATTTATAAATGGTGGATAGAAAAAATCTATGAGGCGTTTACTGACCAAAAAAGAAACACCTTGAAAAATTGGTTGCAAAAATTCAGAAAGGGCGATTACAAAAAAATGTTATCTTTCAACACGAATGTTCGCAATCGTGGAAAAACTTAACAAACAAAATGACGGTCTACGCCCAGAGTTTTGTAGCAATTTGTAAGAAAGCTCTTAGAATCCAACTATGTCGTTGCGAAACCTCTCAATGTCGCAGCTTGTCTCGCGGTAAACTATGGATCTTTCAACAAGATTCTGCGCCAACTCACTAAGTTAATACAACCTAACGCTGGTTGGAAACCAACATTCCTGATTTTTGTCACTGCCAAAAGATAGGCCTTTTGGAGGCCTCGATCTAAACCCCTTCGATCACAAACTGGTGGTCGATGGTGAAGGTGGTTTGAAAAGTCCGTGCAAAAATGAAAACTATTTAATTTTTCGGAGTAAATCTTTTTTATTTTGCAACGTAGTCTCCTTTTAGGATTATACACTTCGTCCAACGCTGCTCCAGTTTGTTGATCCTTTCCGAATAATAGAATTGGTTTAACTGTGCAAAATAGGCATTCATTTCCGCGATCATCTCCTCATTTGGATAAAATCTGCTTCTGGCTAGCCATTTCTTCATATTGGAGAACAAGTAGTAGTCCGAGGGAGTCAAATCTGGAGAATAGAGGGGATGCGGAACGAGTTGGAACCCTAACTCTATCAATTTTGCGGCCACAACTCCAGAGAAGTGAACTGGTGTGTTGTCGTGATGGAAAAGGACTTTTTTATGGGCTAATCGTGGATGTTTTTCTTGCAGCTCGGTTTTCAAACGGTCCAATAACGATGAATAATATGCACCTGTAATAGTTTTATCCTTTTCTATATAATCGATGAGAATTATTCCTTGCGAATCCTAAAAGACAGTCGCCATAACCTTCCCGGCCGAAAGAACGGTCGCCTTCTTTGGTGCAGATTCCCCGTTCTCAACCCATTGTTTAGACTGTTCTTTAGTCTCAGGTGTGTAGTGGTGTATCCATGTTTTGTCCACAGTGACGAAACCACGCCTAAAGTCTTTCTTGTGGATTCCGCTGAAACAGCTACAAACCGTCCTTAGAACACCTCGCACGATTTCATTTTTGGTCAATTGTGAGCAATCGCGGCATCCATTTTGCGGATAACTTTTTCATACCCAAATGTTGATGCAAAATATTATATACCCGTTCACTCGAGATGCCCACAGCAATCTCACGCATCTTCATTTTTCTATCATTCATCACCATATCATGGATTTTATCAATGATTTCTAGAGTAGTGGCCTCAAGAGGGCGTCCAGGACGTTCACTTGTATGGCCGCTCCAAAACGTTTGAAACCATTTATAAACTATTCTAATCGAAGGTGTAGATTCACCATAATGAATTGTGTATCAAGCTTCTCTTTAGTCTCCTGAAGCGATTTGCCTTTCATAAAGTAATGTCTTATCAATACATGAAATTCTCTTTCATCCATTTTTTAGAAATCACTCGACTTCCTCGATTCAAACAGAGAAATAGACCGATCTGGCTGAAACTTGGTGTGTGTTCTTCCAAGAGATGCTACTAACTGAAAATAATCTTGATATACATCGGTGCCATCTTTTTGACTTTGCACGGACTTTTCAAATCATCCTCGTATATGACCTTCTTGAAGAAAAAGCTTGTAAGAATATACATGTAAATTTTGACTCCCTCAAGCGAAGTCTTGTCCGTGCGGCATTCGAAATTCTGCTGCAAATAGTGTGCAAATCGATTGACCAATGGCCGGAGCGTCTCTATATTTAGAACGAAAACAGCCATTTTGAACTCAGATAACACAGGATATCCAATGAATATATGTTGTATGTCCATTTCTAATCGGAATATCCATGGACTTTATAAGATGATGTTATAGGATATATATTTGTGGATACTCTAGAGATATTCCCAAATAGACAACTTTGTACGCTCATATGCTCTATTTTTTGGTCTGTTCTTTTTAGCTGCACCGCTGAACTGGTACAATAAGTTAGAGTGAGACAAGTATATATGCTGCATACAGAAAACGCAACGGTTGTACAACAATTGAATAATTCGTCAACATAATTGGTCTTAATGTAAGGATCTAACAATAAAGATCAATAATCACTGACTGCTCATTGATCGCTTATGTTTCTTCTGAACGCAGTTTAATGAAATTCGAAATTTTTGGTGTGTTCTTTTTAGCTGAACTAGCTGCATTAGTTCAAAAAAATTCACTTACACGTAGAAACGTATAAATCATACGTACAAAATTTTCACGCTTTAGTATATGTCAATTTCTTGAATTAATGCAGCCAGTTCATCTAAAAAAAAAAAAAAAACAGACTGATACAAAAACATTTCACGAATATTTCACATTTTTTATTTATTTATTATTATTATTTATTATTATTGGTTGATTGATGATTGATTAATGATTGATTCTGATTCTATATAAAAATTAAGATATTTTTATATTAGTTAATAATGAAAATATTTCAATTAAATCGAAGTCTATATTCAATGGTGTGATTCGGGTAATGCCAAACGTATATACCGTATATGCTCGTATACATGCACAGATATGTGATTTTACATTCTAAGTAGACGATATAAAATGTTATGAAAAAATGAAATATTTTAAAACAATAAACCAGTATAATAAGAGCGCTTTTTACAAATATCGGACTGTTAAATAAGTGATCCATATAATTCATTTAAACTGCAATTATTCTCCATTGTTTTCATTTTTTGTATATTTGTCGTTTTTTACTTCTATTCTCAACGGAGATCGTCCTCTAGTGTGATTTCCAATGCGTGACCGCAAATCGCCGCCTTTCAAAGTATTTCTCAAATCATGGCTTCCCGATTGTCTGTAAAAGATAAGACTCTTAAATCTTAATTTGAGAAAGGCAGATATCTCCCAAGATAAAAATACTTTAAAATAATTCATTATTTTTTATGAGTTTATTATTTATATAGCATGTTTTAGAAGATTGTACATTTCTTCACAGTTACAAATATTAATAGACATTAAAGTCGGCAGCAAAAGTCGAATATGTAAAAGCCACTAGGCTACACTTTCCATTGTATCTGCGCTTTCCTATATTTTAACTCGGAGAAATCATATTTGCTCATTAAACTATTTTAGGAATCATTTTATGAACGTATTTATTAGCTTTATAAAATGTTGGTTTTTGCCACTAATGCCCTGAAAACTTGTAATAAATAAAAATACAAATTCGTGCTCTGCATTCCACATCGTATACTTATTTTATGAAATAAATTATTAAAAGCCTGATTGCAAAATCCAACTCTGTAGTACATTTGCAAGGAAAACTTCAAAAATAGTTCGGCAATAAAATATGACTTCTTCGAGCTAAAATATCTAAAATTGCAAATACGACGGAAAATGTAGCACCTAGTGGCACTTTGATACATTCGGCCAGGTCTTGAGAAAAATAATTGTTTTGTCAAAGCATTACAAGTTATTATTACTATAGTACTATATAAATATTATATTGTATAATCCACTCTATTGTTTATATTTATATATCATATTCTTTTAATATATATCTTATACGGAAGTCTAAATTATTAAATGAACTTCAAATAATATATATAACTTAGAGAAAGTACTTGAATTTATGTTTCCCGTAGGTTCTATATGTTTTCAAACTTGAAACAAATTAATTTTATTACCTGTTTTTGAGGTAGCTGTCATTAATCTCACTTCTTATGTAATTTAATCTTGCCCATACGGTAGAAGCAACACGCGGCTTGGATGGAACTACCTTTATCACACTTCCTTTAGGACCCTGAACTTCCTTTGCAGGCACATTACCGTCTTCTTCAACACTATCCTCTTCATCTTCTCTATGTTCACCTTTCTCTCCCTTCTCCTCCTCCTCCTCCTCTTCCTCTTCGTCCTCTTCCTCTTCTTCTTTCTCTTCCTCCTTTCTTCTTTTATTGTCTTCCATCAGTACATATTGTCTATGCTGGTTTCGTTCAATCTTCTCATCTTCCTTTTCCTCATCATCCTCGTTTCCCGACTCTTGCCACTCTCCCTCTTCTCTTTCTGATGGCTGAATCTCCTTCATTATCTCGCGATCTCGTCTCCATACTATCTTGGAACTATTCCCATGTTTTAAAGGACTTGATTTTGTCAGATTTGTGTTCGTGACTACTACTTGAATAGGATCACGGTATTGTGTTTTTGTCCTCGATTTCCCCAGTTTCGATCGCAAATCACCACTGTTATTTAAGTTGTTAAGGATCATCTGAATGAAGAATAAATATTATGTAGTTGCGAACATGTTAAAAAATATCTCAGTGAAAAGTTAACTAACCTGATATCGAAGCTTTGCTCGCCGCTTTTGCTGCTTCTTTTCCTCGTCATCGGCATGCATTCGCATGCGCAAAACTTTACTTCGCTTACACCAATTCTCCTCGCTATCGCTGCTCGAGCTAAGTTCTCTTGATTCCACCACTTGTATCATATCCTTATCAAAAGACTTAGTGCCCAATCTGTCTTTTATGCTGCTACGTGCATGGTCCTGATCGTTTTTTGGAAGAAAGTCATCTTCCACAACATCGTTTAAACCCCATGTTTCGGACAATGCACCCCACGGATTTTTTATTTGATTTTGATCTTTTTCAGCTGCCAATCTGTGTTTGTTTTGCTTGTTTTGTTGGATTTGTTTATACATACGTTTACGAGACTCTGTTAGGATTCCTTTGATACCTATAAATCCGTATAAAAACAAAACTGTACTATTGTCCCTTTCCTTTTTGTTTATTCCTGAATGTTTTATCGCACACATACATATAAGACAATATATAAACTTACCTCCAAAATTAGGATTTCCATATTTTTTATAGTATTCACTCACTTTTTCTGCATTTGCTTGTTTTCTATCCATTCTAGTGGCAAATCTTAAAAAAATCCCTTTAGATTTTGGATAATCAATTCCTTTTCTCCATGTACCAGGGGGTAACGCATGATCGATATCTTTGATATTAATATAATTTTCCTTCTTTCCATCGCTGCTAGTATCGGTAAACTTATGTTTTCCACTTGCTATTAAACTGTCATCTTTGCAATCATTCCTATCTACAGAGTCGGTCTCTGAATTGCAATTTCCACCTGAATATTTTCCAACACTACCCTCTATTCTTTTCGACAATCCTAACATGGCTCTGGCTGCTGATAAGTTGTCAAACCAAACTACATTGCCTGTAAAATCATAAATGAGTAAACTAAACATTAATCAAATAGTTCAAATCATTATGGATTTTTTAAATAAAATCAAACTTAGAAACTTACATGAAATATCATTGATCCATTCAATAGACTGTGGAGCATAATCTTGAAAATATTTCAACACATCTTTGGTACTCATTTCTTTAGTTCCTCTGACGTGGATAACATTTAACCTAACATTTCTTGCATCTTCACCATTATCTGTGATACCCATACTATAAACATTGAAATATAAAATTATATTTATTGCTTTCTCATTATATCGAATAAATATTTTACCTGCTGTATAAATCTTCTTCTTGATTAGATAGTAAATTTTCAAGTTTCTCTGTTAAGCCAAAACGCTTTGCTCGTTCTTCCATCTTCAGTCTCTCTTCCTTACTGAATATATCTATACCTGTTGTAAATATGCCAATAGATCTATTGGAAAAATTGTCCAGCGTATGTACCTGAATATATTTAAAATCGTTTAAAATATTCCTTTTATGATATTAACCAATAATGATAATGATTAATTATTTCGATTACCCGTGATTCTGTTTCTAGAGTAGTAGCCTTAGAAGGATCACTTGGTTTCTCCTCAACATGTACAATTTCCTCCATAGACAGCATTTCAATGTCCGACGACTCGTCACATTCGTCCATTGTATAAATATATATTAAATATGTTAAGCGTTAAAAATTGCTAAAAAAAGGTAGTCGAGTTTCACGCAGTTTACGAATGACTAATCGCAATACGAATAAGTTTTAGAAGAATCTAAGTTTATAGGTTACAATTTACAAATAAGATCTTATTGTTAATGGCCGAAAGCCATGCTCAATACACCGACTTATCGCAATCAATAGATGGCGCCAGGTGCGATGATCTTGTGGGACATTCCCCTAGTATTTCCAACGGAAAAGTGGTATAATTAGGCGAAGACAGAATGTACAGTGTAACGTCCGGACTTATTTTGAAACATTAATAATATATTAGTATAGATCAGAGGCCGACTTGTCTGATTTCAGATATCACTAGGTTAGATATTCACCAGGTATCCCTATGTTACTAGATGTAAGTACGTGCGCATATGTATATTCGCACACGTTAAATATTATAATTAAAATTATAACGCCAAAGAAACGACGTGTCGTTAGAGAGCCTTAAAATCGAGGGATCAACTATAAACAAGAGAAACCGTAATCTCAATGCGATAAGGCACCCTCGCTGCTAGCATAAACAGGAACATGAAACCTAAATTCAAACACCACTCAGGACCGACGCGGTGACATCATACCGATGGGATGAACTTCTTCCATCTCCACGATTCCATCAGCTAACCAGAAAACGACTCTCAGCGACAAAGCAACGTATAAAAACGCGCGCATTCGTTGCGAAGACGATTCTTTTCTCGTGATTAGCTTTTGATACTTGTGTATTTATATGGTTTAGAATATATTAGTCGTAGAATCCAACTGTGTAACAATTATTTTTGTCTACCCCTCATTTCTCGAAAGTTGCGAAATCGAAATTGGAATCGCGGACTGCATCATCCCGCGCAGTGCCGGAACATTCGAGAACGAGCGGCTCTGATTTCTCACCAGATTCATCGATCGTTTCGCCAGACTCCGGAGACCCAGGGTAAACTCGCTGAAAAGCAGAATGACCTAAAAGCGGAGTCATCACTCTGTTGATCGTCCACGTAAGTCACTGATTTTACTACTTTCAAATTTCCCTATATAGTTATCTATCGTGGACGTAACAACATATATCTTTTGTAAAATTTTCCTTTCTTTTGAATGGCGCTATTAATTTTTTGATAAAAATTAAATTTAAAAAGTTATTAGCGAAAAACTGCATTTTTGCATATAAATTGTTAAATAAAAAATTTAGCACCCACTTTCTCGCGGAGACATTTTGATATGTTATTCTACACACTTTCCCAAACACGTTGCAAAAGGAATTATCGATCGGAGAATTTTTCCGAAGTAAAAATCTAATATGATTCCCCTATATGCAGGTACTCCGAGCATTAGCGGTATGATTTTGGCTCGATTGGCGGCCAGTACAGATTCTCGTGTCGACGTGAGAGGATTGTGTGTTGTTGGATGAAAAGGAAGAAATTAAGTGAAAAAAAGAAATTAAGTGAAAAAGTTTGCAATGAAGGTGATTACTGTGGGGGAGGAGACAGCGGTTTTCAAGGCTTTTGTGCGGGTAAGTTTTTCACTTTTTTTTCCTATTAAAGGGGAAGTGGTCTTAGGGTTAATTCTGTCTTTTTTTTTTTTCTAAAATTCCCTTCCCCTTTTCTAGATGTATGAAAAAGCTTTCCATGTCAGGGGAAAAAGGGGTCGATGGGAAAGAATGGACTTGGTGAATGAAAGACATTGCTTTCGATGGGCGACTGGCGAATTCTGGAGGAATTCTGGAGGATCGGCGAGGAGGATTGGGACAATGAGGAGGAGTGGAATACCTTCGGGTTCTGCGAGCTGTATAGTGTCGAGTGATATTATTCGCAATAATAATAAACTATTTTAGATCCCCAAAGATTTTTTTTAACTTAATATCCTCCCTATATTCCTCTTTTTTTTTTTAGATGTAAGTGAATGCGATATAGGGGCGAGTGCGCTGGAGGGTGGGTGAACTTGGGTCGTCGCGAGCGGGCTGCTGGAGGGGGTACCGATCGGACCGCTGCGGGGGAGGGTGGATGCGGACCTTCGCGGGCGACTACCGCGGGTTGTCGCGATCGGAGGGAGGGTGGGTGGAGGGGTGCGGACCTTCGCGAGGGTATACCGACTGTCGAAGGAGGGTACTGACCGCTGCAGGGCCTTATTCGGTCGGTAAAAAAAAAACAGCGCCAACTGGCCTTTGCTACTCGATCGATAAAACAGATCCAACTGCGCCAACTGGCCTTTGCTACTCGGTCGGTAAAATAGATCCAATTGCACTAGAACCGGCCTCACTCCTCTACAGCGCGATGCTGCGCTTGCAGTCTAGGAAGGTCTGGTCGGCCTTTTGCGGCCAGGTCAGCTTGGCCTTGTTGCCCTTCGGGAGGCCTATGAGCAGGTCGTTGAGAGGAGCCTGGAGTAGCGACGCCCTGGGGATGCACCGGCGATAGAAGTTCAGCATGCCTAGGAATCTCCTGGGCTGGGCCGGAGTCTCTAGTTTGAGGAAGTCCTCGATGGCCCGTACCTTGGCTGCGGGCGGTTCGTAACTCTCGCCCGAAATGCTGTAATCGAGAAATTCGAGGTGGGCCTTACCGAAACTGCACTTCGCCAGGTTGACGTACAACTTGGCCGAACGGAGAGTGTGAAAGAGTAGCCTGAAGTGCTCTAGATGCTCCTCATGCAATCTGGAGATGATAAGTAAATCGTCCAGGTAGCAGCACACCAACGGCAAATCGTGAAGTATCGAGTCCATGAAGCGCTGAAAGGTTTGCGAGGTGTTCCGCAGCCCGAGCGGCATGTCCAGGAACCTCGAAGAGGCCGAACGGCGTGGTGACGGCTGTCTTCTCAACGTCCTCTGCGGCTACCAGGTTCTGGTAATACGCCCTCTGCAGATCGATGGTGGAGAAGATCGCCGAGCCGTGGCAATCTTAGAGAAGGTCTTCGATGATTGGAAGAGGGCAGCGGTCGGGCACTGTGCAGGCGTTGAGCCATCGGTAGTCGCCCGTGGCACGCTACCTGCCGGTCTTCTCTATCAAATGCAGGGGGCTTGCCCGCTGACTGGAGGAAGGCCGGATGATGCTCCGAGCCAGCAGGGTTTCGAACTCCTGCTTGGCCGCAGCCAGACGCTCCCCGCAAAATCTGCGAGGGCGCTCGAACACCGCCGGTCCGGTGGTGACGATGTGGTGGGCGACCGCGGAGCTGCGGGGTGTGATGGACACGCTGCCTGAGCCTGCGAGATCCGCGAACTTGTGAAAGAGCCTTGAGTACTGTTGTCTTGCCTCTTCCTCCGGAACATCCAAGTGATCCACCAGAGAGACGCTATAAATGCTGGGTCGCCTGCTGACGCCCTTGACCGAGAGCGTGGTGAGGGGGTCGATTAACTTCCGACCTATAAGTTGAAGCGAGACAAGTATATGTTTTCTCACTTTAACTTATTGCGCTAGTTCAGCGGTGCAGCGAAAACGAACAGACCTTTTATTATACTTAGATTAGAAAAGCCAATTAGAAAATTTTATATTAAATTAGCCAATCCACTACGCCGACTACTGAGCTCGCCCGTATAGACACGTAATTTTTTCCTCAAGACCTGAACGTGAAATGTCTTCAAATTAGAAAATTTACTCTTTCCACAAATTTATGCTAGAAGAGAAAATTCGTGATCAACACCCAACGGGTTATGAATATCCTTTAGTGTAAACTCTGTAAAAAATGCAAATTTTCTAATTTTAATATTTTTGTGTTTCTACTCTAAGGAAAAAAGTTACGTGATCGATGTCCTGATCGCCATAACATTTATTAGATTTACGGCTATTAGAATTTTCCGATTACACGCACTGTCTCTATTTTCATGAAAATTCGAGTCATACGTCTACATTTCGTAGCTGAAATAAAAGGGAAGCACACATTTCGGTATAGCGCATAATGCATGACGCATAAAAAGGCGAGAAAATCAGGATCCTTTGTTTTCATCGTGAGGACAGAAAAATAAAACTCTGGTTTATCATGCTAATATATGCATAATTGCGTTAAGCTCGTATCAGACTACGGATTGAAGATGTAGATTAAATTGAAATTTGACCAATTAGTGCAAAGTTCACTAACTTTCATTAAACTTGAGTTAACTTTGTATCATTATTGACCGAATTTAATTTAACTCAATCCAAATCCCAATCCAAAGTCTAACACAGGCTTTATGCCAAAGTGTATGTGCTTCCCGCTTTCCTCATACTCATGCGAGAAAAGCGTATCAAAGCATTATTCGAATAATTCTTTTCTTGTTCAGTTTTACTTTGGGACAAAAGGCAAATATAAAACAGATAAAAAAATTACATTTAATTAAACGTTTATTATTTTTTTTTACTTAAATAAACGTTTATTTGGCTTTCTTGCTTTTAATTTTCCTCATGTAAAATTCCAGTTCCTTGCCTTCGAGAATATAACCATCCGCTCTACCGCACTGACCAGGTCTACTCGCTATACAAGCTGAAATTAAAAGGCCGAGTTATTTTGAAGTTACTCTCATTAAATACAAATTATGTACAAACATTTTTGTAAAGAATAAAAATTCCCATTATTACAGCTTAATAACTTTCCTAAAGATTTGTTTATAAAAGTATTAATAATTTTTTTCTATAAAATAAGGATAGATTCATATATACCAAGCACACGTCCCGTCGCAAACTGCTCTTCCAAGGCAGGTTCAACTTTAGCGAATCGCTGCCTTGCCTTGTATTTAGCTTCTGTTTTCTTTGAACGTTTCTTGTTCAATACTTCTTCTTCAGCTTCAGTCTATCCAGGAAATTTTATATTTTGTTTTATTAATATAACCTATATTCCATATAAATTTGAATCTTAAATTGTAATAATTGTAGTACTCACTAATTTAGCACCCCTCTTGCGGCCAAGCGGAAGAACATAATGGCTTTCGTACCACTGCCTGAATGGTGTGGCATCGATAGTAACAATGGCGTTTTTCACCAAAGTCTTAGTACGTACCAATTCATTGTTCGATGCATTGTAAACCACATCGATGATACGAGTTTTCCTGGTGCTGCATTCAGAGCCCCAGGAGAAGTTTCCTGTATCTAATCTAAGAGCTCTGTACTTCTTGTTGCCTCCTCGTGTACGGACCTTGTAAACATAAAACAAGTGCTTTCATAACTTTAAAAAAATAAGAGACAAATTACTATGTAATGTTTGAATCAGCGTGCTGTGGGAAAAGTGTCAGCAAGGCACTCAGAATAGATAAGACTCATCATTTTAGTAACTCGATAAATTAAGGGCTCGGTAACATTATTATCAAAACATTTGGAATTTTCTAGAATCTGATTATAGTGCATATTTCTTAATGTTTCTTATATTTAAATTTTGTTGCAATATTTATTGTTTATATTTATTTATATTTATTTATTTCTACAAAAGCTATGATTACAACAATATTTGATTCAAACTCACAGTATGGATCCGCTGAGGCCCAAGTTTGGTGTTAGCAGCTGGTCGTCCTAATTCGAACTTCCTCTTCTTACGAATAGGTTTCCTTTTACCACCAGTAGCCCTTCTCTTGTGCCAATGATCTCGAGAAATACCTGTAATACCATATTAATAGAGATATTATGTAATATTATGTAAATTTAAGAAACATGATTTTATATTAAAAAAAAAAAGAATTAACCTCAAGCCCTATAAATCAATGAGTGCTTTATATTCATATCAAGATTGCCGAAGCAGCCCTGCATCGAAACAAGTTACAGATACAGAGCAATCGATATTGGTTGTACAGAATCAATATGCAAACTATTCCGTAAAATTTGGAGGCTTATAACTATCTAGGAAAATCTTAAATGATAAGGTTAAATATACTGATGATATTTGTTTCTAAATAAAGCGGAGATATATGATATAAGAAACAGCACGCTGAACACCGCCATTTAGCAACGTTCGCCGACACGTGCCTTTCACCAATTATACATAAGAACGTTGAAATATACTCGTCTAAAGAATAGATAAAGTATGTTTCGTGCGTTGCTCGTGTTTTAGCGTAACATTGCAACGAGAAATTGCGAATTCACGCAGTGATTAGAATAAATTTCACGAATTTATACGAGAACGAAACACTCACCCATCTTGCCACGCTGAGAAAAGAACGTTCCTCGGTGAGATAGTGGAAGTATAGAAGCCCAGTGAGCTGAATAATCTTGTGTCACAATACTGGTGGTACGGTACTTCCGCTTACTTCCAGTCTTCTTTCGGCCGGGTCTACAATGCCTGATTGCATTGGTCGATTTGCCGAATTGACCAATGTGATTGGACGTCACGGGCACAACCTACACTCGCGCTCCTTGTGAGCGCCAAATGTAATTACTCATTATTGGTTGGGAATATTACGTTCAATTACACTAGATCCGCTAATCAAATGTTCCCAGGCCTACGTTCCAAAACTTTATTCAGTCAACTCGATGAATAAATAGAGAAGAATAAATAAATAGTAGAATAAATAAAGCCCTATGCACAAAGAAAAAAATTGCAGACAATAGGAATAAAGAATAATGGCGTTTTCGATTTGCTGACACGACCAATTTGGGCGTTCCATTAATCGATACAGCGTTCAGCTACAGCGTTCCATTAATCGCTACAGTATTGCAAACTATATAATATATATAGTATATAAACTATAAACGTAACTTGAAGTATAAGTTGCAATACTGCTAAGATTACTGGAACGCTGCCCGAGTCGGGTCGAGTCAGCAAATTGAAAACGCCGTAACACAGTAGATTAACAACCTATCGGAGACTCAAAAGTTGTTAACTCGGAAACTCAAATGTTTTAAATATTGTTCAAAGATTGAGGTTATAAGATTTCTCTGAGGACGGTGCACCAAGTTAGCTACATTGCGTCACACTGAAAGAAATACACGATGGCGCAAAGTAGGTTGGAAAAAATCGGTACGGTATATTCCAGGTAAGTTTTAGCACTTTATAATTCAAGGCGAACATTACTGTCACTCTTACATGATGTGTACATATATGTGAATTAATTAGCAATTGTTATGAAGAAAATTACTAGGAAAATTGATTTTCCATTGACGTTTCGTTGATAATAGTCTACTTTAAACGAATAATTATAAGGATGTTGTATTAAGGATATTACTTAAAATATCAGAAATTCAATCTTTGTAAAATAATAGATCTGGATTCTTTAACGGTTGTTGGCTCAAAACATTTTATAATTATTATCTGGCTTTATACAATGTAACAAATTTCAGGGTTAGCTCACTGTTACGTGGTGGAGCCATGAAGTCGGAGGATGCGCCGTTGTGGTTGGCAGTGTATGAAGCTTTTCCTCCAAAATACGAACCTAGATTTGACAGACAATTACCAAGCAAGCCTATCACACCTATTTTTTATAAAGAAGATCTCGTACGAGCGTAAGATCTTAGTGTAATATTTTTGCTTTATATTTTTGCTTTTGTTATCATATTTTATTACATATGTAAACTTTGTGTTGAATTACATAAATATCATTATTATTAATATTATTATTCTATCATATTATCAGTTCTTGCTACATCATGTTGTTAATTATATGTTACTTTTTTATTATCAATTTTAAGTATTTGCTCTTGCAGGAGATTTCATAAAGATCAGGGCTTTATACCGGCTACTAATTTGGGAAGAGAAAATATAAAAACTGCGAGCCAAAATTTCTTATCTATGTACAAAATGATACAAAAGGTATGATTTTATTTGTAATATATTGAACATGTATTAAGAACAAGATATTGAGAATAGATTTAACTGATAGGAGGAAGGATTATCAATGGACGCTGCATACGAGCGGGCAATGCATCAATATAAGGCTGAGGTGGAGGCAAGAATAGAATTTAGCAAAACCAGGAATGAATCGTCCAACAATCGTGCATGACTTCAAAGTATGTTGTAATTCTATAAGTTTAATAGTAAATTTAGTTTTTAATAAAAGCTGTTTTAAAAAAAAATTCCTAATAGTTGTGAAAATCTGTGTTACATGTAATTGATGTCCTTGCGCTCGGTTTTGCGCACTTACAGGAATGGGAAATTGAAATTCAACGAGTCTTATTCAACAACAGTTTATATTTCGTGACGATACGTTAAATAACAATGAGTCCCGGTAAAGTTATAACATGCTGCAGTGAATAAGGAATGATAAAACCGCGATAATCCTCCGTGATGAGTGTGAATATAAATTCAATCGGTAATATTCCTAGCGTATAGAGATCAATCTTAAAATCTTCTTTTTCCCTCCCTTTATAGTATTAGTCACTCTCTCTCTCACTCTCTCGTCGTACTTGATAATAATCTCGAGTATGTTGTATATTATTATGTATAATTTCTAATTTGGTAATAGTTGACATGTTAAAAAAAGAAAATCATAAGGGATACAAGCTGCGCTGTTTATCACCATAACATTCGCTTCACAGGCATTTTGCAGGTACAAGTAATTTAAAAATAAGTATAAAAGGTACGCAAATTTATATGCATACGTTATTGATATATGTATAAATTAAAGCTACCGTATTTTTAATATACCGAACACTTCGAGTTCGGGAATGACAGCAGAAGCCATAAATACCGTATATTTATTGCACACGATAATAAAAGGACTCGCGATCGATTTCTTGATGTTTCCTTGAGATAGTATCCGTATTTGATTTATAACTGATTTTCGAGTGATTATTTTTTCTAAAATGCCATCTTGTTTTTTTTTCACTATCCGTTAGGATAGTGGACTTAGGATCTCCTGCATTATTTGTGTATTAAGAAGAACAGTGGTTATTAGTAATCAATGATTGTTAACATTTCCCAATCTGCAGTCCAGACCATAAATATATTGAAGAAATCGAGCGTCGCAACTTTCGTTCTGTCGCACGAGTATCGTGTCTTCCGAATAAGACTAACGCAATTCAAAGCTGTGAATTGTTGCGAGAATGAGAAATTGAATTTTCTTTTTATATTTGGTCGTTGGGATTAATTCTTCTTAACCCTTTGACTGCTATGGGCGCATATATGCGTCCAGCGGAAACCATCGGTGTGGCCTATGGGCGCATATGTGCGTCCGGCGCAAGCCATCGATGTAGACTATGGGATGCAAATGCGCGCTCGGCGAAGACTTTGGCTGTTTACTACTGTAATGTGTTGTCTGCAGGAGACATTGAAGAAGGAGGGATACTCCATACGAATGTACAAAATGCGACGTCGGATTATGCGTTGATACTTGTTTTGAGATTTACCATACGCAATTAAACTATTAATTTTCTTATTCTTATTTCTTAAAAGAAAGTTTTTGTTTATATATAGAGTATTTATGTTACTTGTTATTTGTTCAATTTTTCAATTTCCAATATCCAACATTATAACTATCAAATTATGGCGTTTTAAAACTTTACTATTGGTGAATAAATAATATATATTGAAAATAAAAAATGATTGGATTCATTTTGCAGTGGTCAAAGTAATAGTAATTGGATTGTGTACTATATTATAATGTGTTAATACGCCGCCGATAAGATCCATATTGTACGCAAAAGTATTCAGTCCCCAGCGATCGCTATTGCCAGCCGCACGCCGCGCTCACGCGAAGCGCTTCAACTTAGAGCAGTTAGCAGTCAAAGGGTTAATATGTTAAAACTATTCTCTTATTTTAAATAAAAAAAATATATACTATATATTTATAGGGATACCTATAATTATACTATATATTTATAGGGATACCTTCTAGTAACGACTAAACATACTATGCATATACTTGGTGACATTTTCTTCACGTAGGACTTGTTTATTTTTTTCAATTGCATCAGCCTTGTTTCGAAAGTACGATACGTCACACATATAAATCTCATTACGTCACTTAGGTGACGTAGGAGTCACTTGGGTGACTCCCATAGAAGAGCTAGCCTAAATGTTACGTATCGAAAGAAGAAAATCGAATCCCCATCGAGCGAACAACACCACTAGTATTACGACGAGCTCCTCGTATAGGTAAACAAAATTAGAGAGCTAGTTAAAAAGTAACATAACTAGTTTTGGTAATATCTTGCGTTTTTCCTCCTACAGAATGTCTTGTATCACATTAGTCACGTGGGAAACCGATCGTTCTCGCTCATCTATAATTTAATCGTCGGTGGAAATTGAATGACTCGATTGAGCAAAATACTTTTAACATCCGATCGCGGACAGCTTACGTCTACCTATCGTTATTACATTATTATTATTACATTATTATCATTATTATATTATACAATAACATAACGTTGATATATCATACAACTTATCCCACAACCTTTCGTCTTGGAGACTCTGGAAATACTCCTTTGGACGTGACACAGTTGGATCGCAGGGAAAGATAGCGTGTGATTTGTCAACTGTCTCAGGATTACTGTTAGCTGCTCAAACTTACTGAAGCTTAACGTTAACGATATTATCAAAATCCGACCGATATAGTGCTAAAAATATCTCTTCAATATCTAGAACGGCTGAATTAATATCGTAATTTGAAGGAATGTTCTCGTTTCGTTCTTGTCGCGTCGGTAAAACGAGCTTACGTTTTAATATCAGAATCATTCCCGTCACTTAGAGCAAAATCGTCACTTCGTCAATATCGCGCCTGCCAAAGGGGAATATTTAAGTGTTCAGATAGAACACTCGCGTAGCGTGTTCATCGGTGACTTAAATCGAACGAGTATACATTCACCTTTCGAGAGATATCGTATAGATCGCTCATATTTCGGGGGACTTAGTTTTATACAAAATAAGGAAATTGTTTCTCTCGCGCTCGACTAATAATTCCTGCATCCTGGATGAGCTAAGGATCTTACGTAGTAACTATGTAACGCAACAGGGTGCCCGATGATGAGTCGCTTCGCGTTCTGAGACAAATCGAGAACCCTGAAGAAATCGGCAAGATTATCCTACTTTTCTTTTTTTCCGATCTCACGGAAAACCGTTATTCACACGCGGAGTCACGCTCGTATCGAACACTACCAGCTCACACTACGCGCTATAATTGTATTGGACGTATAAGATTCACCGAGCGTAGTCAGCTGAGACCCGCACCGTTAAGCACATATTGTGCGTATCGCGCTGCCAAAGAGGAGAGTCTCGCAGGCCCATCACGAATTTTTCCAAAAGGTTTTATCTCAGCGGTTCTCAACACCAGCTTGCACATTGGCACATCGCGACCGCGCGTATCTCGCTACGATGGAAACCTCTCACCGTGTTTTTTCGTAACGGAGAATCGGAACCGGATACACGGAGACATCCATTCTCTCATCGCACGCTCGACGCTAAATGCAACTTGTCCTTATCTTACGTCACTGCACTGATCACCGTCGTCCTTATATAAAATAAATCGAACTCACACAGTATATTTTTGGTAATGCGTACGCGAGAAAAATCTGGCATTTTGCACAAATGTAGGACAGATAGAACGAGCATAAATTATAATATATAGATATAAAACAAATATAATTATTATAAATATTTATATACAATTAATATTATAATTTGTATAAATATTTATATAATGAAAAATGAAGTGAATATGAATTAATTATGTTTGAAGAAATAAAATGATATAAAACTCAATATAAACATCGAAATACCGAAAGTGCTGCATCTAATTAATAATGTGAAAAAATTTTATATTCATAATATAAATATTGAGGCATTTAAGTATCGAAAGTTCTGTACAGTTTTGCAATGATTCAACTAACAGTATGAGAATTTATACTAATTGGTGTTTGCATGGCACTATTTTCATTATGAAATCCGGGGGATTTCGAGATAAATCTAAAAGCGTTTTCAAATTTAACCCTAAATCCGAAGGCGCTTTTAAGTATTAAAGACATTTCGAAATTAGAATATACGTCTTGCAAACACAAATTAATATTAATTCCCATAATTTAATTAATTAAATTTAATTAAATTAATTAAATAAATTAAATTAATAATTAAAATTAATAATTAAATAAATTAAATTAATAATTAAATTAATTCCCATTAATTATATGTACTGTAAAAATCTACAGCACTTTCGATATTCAAATGTATCGACATTTATACTATTTAAACACACAAACATAAGGTTTCAATGTTTGTCATGAATGTGACGCTTCAAATTCGGATTATCCACGGATCTTTTAAAATATAGCCAATCTCGGACGGTTGCAACAGTTTTTTTTATATGTTTTAGAATACAAAAAATATGAGGAAACGAATCATGTCGTATTTTTTGTATTCTGAAGTATGTAAGAAAAAAAATTGTTGCAATTGTTTTTTGATAATCCGAATAATATGAATTTGAAGTTTCGGATCGGATATCCAATCTCGGATACCCGGACAATCATTTATCCGAATGCTTAGGAACCCTAATACAAAATATGAAATTTTTCCACCGTACTAACCGCTTTTTTAAGTAGAAGTAAAATTTTCTTATTAACCCAGCAGACACTAAGTTACGGTTACATAACTGTCAGTTATAATTTCCTATTCGGCAACCGTTATGTAAAAACGATGTTATGCTATTTAATTAAATGTCGATATCATGTGTTGTCAGAAGCACAGTATTAAACACAGCGTTGTATAACGCATGTGTTATATAAATATTCGAAAAAAAAGATCATATATGAAAAGAGTCCATATATGACTATACATAATCATATATGTCCACAACGGAAAAATATTGTTAAATTATATGCAAATAATACTGTGCTTCTGACAACACATGATATCGACATTTAATTAAATAACATAACATCATTTTCTTTCGTATAGACATCTATGATCATATATGTGACCACACACATGGACAAAATTCATATATAGTCAATTTTCCTGGGACAGTTACATTGTTGAGTAGGAAATCACAACAGTTATACGTAACTTGGTGTTTGCCAGGAAGTCTATCTGTCCAATATTTGAACGGGATTCAAGATTTTTCCGAATTTTCGCATCGCCGAACGGTGTATCTTCGTTAGCATTCGACAGCAGTCACGAGGAACAACATGGAGACACATCCGAGTCAGATACTGGGTGAAAAGGAAAACGGGCAAAGCTTAGACCCTCCGCGAGGATCAAGCTGCCGACCAGTTCTCCGATCGCCACAGCAAGGTGTACATGCCGTGTTTGAGTTCTTCGCTCTCCAGGCTCCTCAGCGGGAAGTCCGTGTACCGTGAGATCAGGCTGCGGTAGCCCTGGCCGACCGTGGCCAGCACGACTTTTTTCTTGTCGGCGGACTTGAAGGACACGATTTGGCAAACCTTGCCCTCGAACGGCCGGAACACGGTGACCGGCCGTAGAGTGCCACACTCGGCGACGACGATGCAGCCCCAGGTGGTGCCGATGTACAGCTGGCTGGCGTTCGCCTCGAGCGCGGTCACCTGGCACTTCTCCGTCGAGAGATTCTCCTCGATGGCGATGGACTTGAGGCTCTCCGAGCACGGCACCAGCTTGGACATGTCGAGCTTGTTGACGATCTGCCGGCCGTCCACGTCCCACTGGTACACTACGCAGCCCGGATACGTGTACGAGAAGATGAAGCTCTCGGCCGCGCTAGTCAAGTACGTGGCGAAGAGGTTCCTCATGGCAGCGTCGCTACCGCTGCCTCCGCCGCCACCTTGAGAAAAGAAAAATAAAAGATAAACGCTACCTCAATATAACGGAAACGGTCTTTCTCTCTCTCTCTCTCCGCTCCACTTCCTGCTTCAAGCTTGGTTCCCTCGCTCATTTCACCGCATTTCGACCACCGCTGCGCAATATTGACAGATTCATTAGATGCCCCGATGGAAATATTATGCTGAAATTTATTACTGAAATTCTCTCTCAATTGATCCCATTTCTCATTGCCATTCCGTCAACGTACGTAGCTTCCAATAAGCATTCGATTGGTCGCCTCAACATCGTCTGGCGGATACGCATTTCAAAAAACAGTCGACGAAAAAGCACTGGTGACTTTATCGAGTCAAAACCGCCAAGTGTTTTCCGCGAGGGCATTCATCAGCCACCCGACAGACGGAGCAATCCCATCGAAAATAATGGAAATGATTTCGAACGTTAAACTTGTGCCTGACTTTTTGCAAGTAAACTTTGAATTTCAACTTGGAAAAAAAAGAAGAGACACCGAATTAATTCGTACGCCTAATATTTTATCCGCTTACCTCCGTGCGACAATTGCACGGTATCCGTGAGATTGCCATCCTTGAGCGTGTAGACGGATATCCGGCCGAAGCTCTGGCCGACCCAGAGCTCCAGCAGACGCCTCTTCCGGCAGACCGCCGCCAGCGAGTAAGTCCTGACGTCGTTACGCGCCTCGCCGGCGATCTCCGTGCGCTTCATCTGCGCGAACGTGTCGGACAACAGACAGATTCGACCGCTGTACAGCGCCACGGCGAACTGCTTCAGCTGTTCCAGATGGATCAGCCCGACCACCTTCGACTCCCTGGCGTTATCCGTCTCTAGACTGTAGCTGGCCACGCAGCCGAAGTTGCCGCACAGGTAGACGTGCACCTGGCCGGTGTTGTCGCCTATCCAGATGTAACCGTCCAGGCCGCACATCGCGTACGGTATCACCGGCGTTTCGATCCGCACGTGGCGCAGCCAACCCTTCTGAGTGCCCAGCAGCATGTCCACCTCGCCGTTGTTGTGGCCGAACCAGATCTCGTCGCCGTTCAGTGCGTCATCCGCGCCGCGTCCGCCGCCGGTCATCGTTACCGCCGTCACCTGCGTGCGCTCCGTCAGCAGGGTGACGTCGATCAAGTGAGTGAACTCGGGGGCGGAGGCGATCGAGACGATCTGGCTGGCGGTCGGCCGATCCTTCGGATTCTGCGCCCAGCATATCACCATGAGATCGAGCGCGTAACACGGATGGAAGGTCTCACGGTACATGAGGGGCGGCCTGCCGCCCTCCAGTATGCACTCCTTCACCGCCTCGTGGCCCTCGAACGGCTGGCGCAGCGTCACCAGCTCGTAAACGAACATACCGAAGGAGAACGAGTCCACCTTCTCCGTGTACTCCTCCTCGCCGTTGTACTTGATGATCTCGGGCGCCATGAAACCCTCGGTGCCGCCGAAGCCTTTAGCTCCCGTCGGCAACGTCAGTCGCGATATACCGTAGTCGGCGACCTTCACGTGCACTGGCTCCGGGATCTCCTGGAACGGCAACGGCATCTGCCACACCAGCACGTTCTCGGACTTGAGGTCGCGATAGATTACGTGCTGCTGGTGCAGATACTCCACCGCTTTGGCGACCTGCAGGATGATCGCCTGGAGGGTGTACGGGTCGAGTTTGGCGCCTGAGCGACGGTAATTCTTCAGTACACCGTCCAGCGCGCCCTGCGGCGCCAGATCCAGCACCAGGGCCAACGGGCTGACCACTATGCCGATGAGCGGCACGATGTTGGCGTGCCTGAGCGTCAACAGAATGTTGAGCTCCTGCCGAGCCATGCAATAGGCCTTGCAGGCGTACTGCAACGGATCGCGATCCCACTTGCTCTGCGACGCCTTGTACGCCAAGATCGCCGACTGCTTGGAATTGGGACCGGGCGAGACCGGTTGCAGCATCTTGATCGCCACGTCTGCCCTGAGGTGGCTGCCCGGCAGCCGGCAGCTGCCGCGGAAGACGAAGCCGAAGGCGCCACGGCCCAGCAGCTTCCCCCTCTTCAGATCCTCCGATTTGATGAGGTGCTTCGCGCCGAGGTCCATGAAGATGATGTCAGGCGCGACGTGCGACAAAGGGATCTCCGAGTGCTTGGGACAGCTGATCGGCTTGTTGCTGTACGCCGCCAGGATGCACTCCTCCACCATCCACGAGTAGGCGAGAGTGTTCTCGGGATGGCAGCTCTGCTGTCTGGAGATGTCCGGGTGTCCCTCGAGCGACGGCATCCTGCTGGACGTGAGACTGTCGTAGCCCACGCCGCTGTCGCCGTCGGACTTGTAGCTGTCCTGGCTCTGCCGCTCGCGGTTCACACAGTACTTCTGGATGTCCTCGATCAGCCGGTCGCTGTCGCTCGACTCGCCCTCGCCGCCGTTACCGTCGGCGTTGCCGAGCAGGCAGCGCGGGCACGGTATCAGCCTCGTCACCAGCAGCTTGCCCTCCGACGTGTGGACGAAGCGAGTGCCCAGGGTGGGATACCAGTCCTCCAGCAAAATGTCGATGTGATCCACGATCAGCGCCATCAGCTGCGGCATGCTCTCCGGCCGCGGCTCCACTACGATCGCCTGGTAGCCCATCGGCTCCTCGTCCACCGAATCGGACATGATAGGTTGCTTGATCACCAGGGTGTCCACGGGGAACCAGATCTCCAGTATGGCGGAATTCTTCAGATCCACCGTGCACCATATACCGTCCTGCTTGAGCTTGAACTTGAACTGCCGGTAGTCGTACGGCGAGTTCTTCAGGCTGTAGTAGACCTCCTTGAGACGTAACAAGGTGATCCCCGAGTACCGCAGCTCAATCCCCGTCTGCCAGAGCACCCACTCCGCCTGCAGGTCGAGCAAACTCGCGAAGATGCTGTCGTCGACGAAGTCCTTGAAGGGCGCCAAGAAGGACATGACGATCTCGACGATGGCGTCGTCGGCCAGGATCCGGGTGATCAGCCTGGACCAGAAGCCGCTCGGGAAATACGACATCAGCAGCAAACGCGTGACCGAGCAATCCGGCTGCGACCTCGACGTGAGCACGCACTCGGTGTTGCTCTTGTCGCTGGGCGCGCCGAGGCACGCGAACATCGGCGACGTGATCTTCTTGGCGCGCACGTGCCAGCCGCGCGTCTTCACCGGCACCTTGATGATCTGGTTGTTGCGCAGGATGTCTTCCTCGGTCGGCAGGAGCGACGGTATGAGCAGCGTGCGGCAGTCCCAGGTGAGCGCTACCTCGAACTTATTGAGCAAATTGACGATGTAGCCCTGCGTGTCGATCGACGATATCGTCGACGATTTGAACACGTGTTGTATGTCGTCTAGCTTCATTATCCCGGACCGGGCGAACGGATTGATCTCCCGTATGGTGACGACGTGGGCGAGCATGTCGCAGAGCCACTGTGGATCCAGGAAGTACAAGTCCTTCAGCGTGGCGTCGTCGTAATGCAGGATAATGCCGTTCTCGTGGAGGAAGAGAGTCGCCTGGTGCAGTTCGGCCGGGTCCCTGAATGACCTGTGCAGCTTCTGCAGCTCGTTGTTCACAGCCGCGTAATACTGATCGGCCTTCAGCACCGGGTCCAGGCCGGACAGCTTCCTGTCGTGGGCCAATTGTATCACCACGTCTTCCAGCGCCAGATAGCTGGCCGGGACCTTCTGCTCCAGCAGGAGTTCCTTGCTGCCGGGCGATCGCAGACTGAACACGACGTCGTACACGAGATTGCACAGCATCTTGATGTTGTGTCGCGTCTTGCAGCTCACCTCGATCGTCTCCATGACCTTGGGCAGGCCGCACTTCTCCGCGTCCACGACGTTGATGAACTTGTCGCGTATGTATTGCTGCAGACCCTCGCTGTGCTCGTACGAGACGTCATAGTGAGTGCCGACGATGATGACCGGCGAGTTCGGCGCTCTGCTCTGGATGTTCACCAGCCACTGGAAGATCTCCGAGACGCCCTTGAAGCCGTCCGTTATCCTCCACACGACCAAGTACAGGCTGCGTTTCGACAGGAAGTACTGATGAGTCGCGTAGTACTCCCTCTGCCCGCCGAAGTCCCAGGTACGGAAGTAGACCGGCCCGTGGGACGATTGGCCGCGCACCTTCTTCTCGTAGATCCAGTCGCCGATGTCCACGCCCACCGTCGAGATGATCGTGCCCTTCGCCGTCTTGGCGTTGATGTTTTTGTTACCCATCCGCTTGGCCCAGTGTTCCGACGCCTTCTTCTTGTTCGGCACCTCGCCCTCCTGCCGCAGCTGCTCAAGCAGGCTGGTCTTACCGATCCCCTGAATGCCGACGATCATCAGCTTCATGCGCGCGTACGCCTTCGCGTCCTCCAGGATCGACTTGAGGTAGCCGATCACGTCCATCGTCTTGTACTTCTTCGACTCGATCATCGACTTGAGCGGCTCCTGCAGCCGACAGCCCTGCGTGTTCAAGTTCCACAGCCGGCCGAGGAGGCCCATTTGCGGCGGCAGCTCGACGATCTCGTTATTGCCGCTGATGTTCAGCACCGACAGATTGCTCAGCTCGTAGATGTTGTGCGGTATCTCCCTCAGCTGATTGTTGCTGATGTCCAGCATACTGACGTTGGGGAAGAGCAGGTAAGACTTGGTACCGGTGAGTCCCCCGGTTTTCGAGTCCTTGTCCGAGCTCTCGTCCTCCAGACTCGGCATCTCGCCGTCGTCGACCGACGTCAGCTGGATGCGATTCAGCAAATTGTTCGCCAGGATCAGCGTCCGCAGATTCTCCAGTCGCAGGTGCCGTCTGTGCGTGCAGACCGACTGCAGCACGATGTCGCGCATCGACGTGGGCGTCTGCCTGTTGCTGGGCACGATGGGCGACTGCGCGTTCGTCGCCGGACAGTAGCAGGCCGTGTTCGCCTGCTCCATGCTGTCGGAGCTGTCCACCTGCGGCAAGCTGGGCCACCGCGTGATCTGATTGTTCGACAGGTCCAATTGCTTGAGGCTCGCCGGGTACGAGGTGATGTGACTCATCGATCGCAGGGAATTATACGCCATGTTCAGCCGCACCAGGCTGACCGCCAGGCACGGCAGCGCCACTGGGATGCTGTTGAAGAGGTTGTGCGCCAAATTCAACGACGCTAGCACCGACTTGTTACCGTTCTCCGTGTCGTCGCTCATCTTCTCCGACACCTGGACCGACCTGGTCCACACGTGCGGCCGCTCCATCTCGATCACCTGGGCGTTCGCGATCTTCGTGAACGAGTCGAACTCCATGGACTCCACTCGCGGCATGGCGGCAGCCACCAGTCCGCGACAGGCGACGCCGTTCGGCTGGCCGTTGTCGTCCGTGCGTTGCGACGACTTCCTCAAGATGTTCTGCGACGCCTGGCTCGGCAGGTCGCGCAACAGGTTGAACGAGGCATTCAGCTCTTTCAGCTTGGGTGCCCGCCAGAGATTCTGCGGCAGGCACTGCAGCTTGTTGTTGGACACGTCCATGATCTCCAGCGTCGGCAGACTCATGATGAACTCCGGCAGCTGTTCCAGCCGGTTGTCCTGCAGGTACATCTCCTCGAGGACCGGGCACAGCTTGTCCTTGGGATTCTTCGAGTCCGCCATGAGAGTGTCGATCTTGTTCTGCGCCATGTTGAGGTACCTCAGGCTCTGCAGGTAGAACACGGTGGACGGCACGGAGGTGATGGAATTGTGAGAGATGTCGATCCTCGTGATCGCGTAGAGCACGAGGTCGTTGTTGCGTGGGCTCAGCTTCCTGTTGACGTGCAGTACCGCGTCGATCAGCCACTGCAATCGGATCTGCGACAGATGACACTGCTGGTTGTGCCAGTTGATCATAGTAGGCGTTTTCGGGAAGAGCGCGGAATAAGTGACGTGGCCGAAAGACGAGAGGGCGGAGAAGTGGGAGCTCTGCGTGCACTCGGTCATCGCCTTTTTGTTGATCTTGTACTCGGAATCCGGGTGCGCTTTGATCGACAGCAGCTTCGCGGTGAGCGCCTCGTCCCGGTTCTGCGCGGCGATCTTCAGGGCTTTGCACTCGTCGTCGATCGCCCCGTGCTTCAGCAGCATATCCGCGATCCTGATGTCGCGGTTCTGGCAGGCGATCGTCAGTACGCTGGAATAACTGCCGTCCGGATCGCCGAGGTCGTACGGCTCTTTCACCGGTAGCTCGAGATTCGCGCCCGCCTGCAGGAGGGCGTTCACCACGTCGGTGTGCCTGCCCCGGACGGCTGCGTGAAGAGACGTCTCGCAACCGTTGCTGCAGTAGAGGTCCAGATTCACCGGGTATATCATCTTGTCATCCTTCTTGTCCGCGGAGGCGGCCTTGCAGCGGAAGTTCAACGAGGACATCAGTCTCTGGATGCCGCTGGAGATCTTGCGCTTCGACACCGGCAGCTGCTGAGCGCCGGCCGCGTCCTCCTCCTTCGTGGTCCTCGCTTTCACCCTGTAGCCGAGCAGCAGCTCGACGCACCTGGCGTTCCCCAATTTACTCGCTATGTAAAGTACGTGCTGACCGGTGAAGTCCTGGGCGTTGATGTCGAACGGCAGCTCGTACTCGAACTCGCCGGACGGGTCCCGGTAGCGCTGGTAGACGTGCTGCGGATACTCGAACCTGAGCAGCGCGTCGATCACCGCGTGATGGCCGTTCGTAGCGGCCGCGTGTATCGGCAGCCAGCTCTCCACCGTGAGGGTCTGCACCTGCTTGGGGAAGTGGCGCAACAGCAGATCGACGATCTCCGCCTTGCCGTGGTAGCACGCCACGTAGAGCGGACAGTACTTGGTGACCGGATGGACCCGGCAGTCGGCGCCGTGGTCCAGCAGCAGCCGTACGATGTCCTTGTGGCCGCTCTCGCAGGCGACGAAGAGCAGCGTGTTGGCGCCGTTCGGTGCCATGTTCACCACGCACTCGAGATCGTTCGACAGGCCTTGGATAATATTCCGGGCGGCGACGGTGTCGCCCTGGATGCAAGCCGCGCGCAAGGAGGCGTGGCTCGCCTGCCTCGTGAGCTCGTACTTCTCGGCGGCCGCCTTCAGCAGGCGAATGCAGGAGTCGTGTCGACCCCTCTCGGCGACGTCGAGCGGCTTCAGGCCGTCGTCGTCGCGGATCATCAGGTCCGCGTTGTGGCTCAGCAATCTCTCCACGTTGCCGGCGTGGCCGTGTTCTGCGCAGACGTGCAGGGGCGTCCGATGGTGGCCTCGGGGGCCGCAGGTGACGTTCGGGTCGGCGCCGGTGTTCAGCAATACGTCCAGACACCGGGAGCTCTCCGTGATCGCTGCCGCGTGCATCGGCGTCCTGCCCCAGGAGTCCTTGCTGTTGATGTACTGCGCGTGCTCGCCGCGCAGCAGGTCCTCCAGCAGTTCGGCGTTGTCCCAGAGCGCGGCCTGGTGCAGCAACCGGCCCGGGAAGTCCTCGTCGATCGGTGTGTAGTCCTCCATCACGGCGGAGACTGCGAGCAGACAACGCGATACCATCGATCGCTTCTGAGGCGTCCACCTTGTGATCGGGGAGATTGTTCCTCCCTCTGAACTTAGTCCACGTGCATTTGAAAAATGCATGTAACGCGACACGTAATCTCCACTTTTTAAACACATGAATTTTTAATACGCAGCTTGGAATATAGATTTGTAATTGAAAAGCCCGCTTCTCTTTGTGCAACCCGCATGTATCTTTGATGTATGTCACCCAATGTCTATCTTCTAGTGTGAATGTATGTGAATTTCACCAAGTTTGCAAGTAAACTCCTCAACTTCGTTAAGTCTCCGCGCAATAGAGTTGTCGCAAAAAACAAATTCCCTGATTTTTTCATGTTTTCCAGACGACGATGGCGAATTTCCCACGAGCGATATAATCTCAAATTTTAATGTTTAGAGGGAGGGATCTTATATTGTTAGAAAGGTAGCTTATATTCTTAGAGGAACAAAACAAACTTAAAAGTTTAGTAACGCAATATAATCCTGAATGCAAATTCAGGCCAATAAAAAAATGAGTATTGGAAAAAAGAATACAGTTGAGGACATTTGAGGGAATTGTAAGTAAAGTTCAAAATTCCAAGTTTTTATATCTTTCTCTGATTTTTCCAGATTTTCCGTGACATTTAAAATTTTTTCCTGACTTCCCAGTTTCCCAGGTCTCTCCATGTTTTCCATAGCAACTCTGTTTTTGCGCAAACACGCACACACACTAGATATTGGTAAATATTATATACAATATTTTCGAATGATTTTAATTATATCGTTCTAGATGCAATTAACAGCGTCATAAAATTCTACCAGCTAATTATAGAACTTAAAACTCAATAATTGTTCCTGGAGTGATTCAATTTTACTTAAAAAAGAAAAAGGCTAATATTTTTATCGTTAATCATAACTTTTTTATTCATATTACCATCAACCAAAATTATTTGCTGTTTGGCAAAATATAAATGTCGCAAAATATTATCTACTATTTCGTTATTATAATGTTAATTATAATGTTATATTATAATGTTAATTATAATAACGAAATAGTAGATAATATTTTGCGACATAATATAATGTTATAATGTTAACATGCATTCTAATTTATATTTTATTATATCATATAATATTATATTTTATTATATCATATATAAAAAACTCTCAAAATAACAAGAATCATAAGAGAGGAAATAATTCTTCGATATATATTTAATGATATAAATACAAAAATTATATAAAATTTACTAAAAAATTGGCAGCAATGATACTGACACAAATATTCGACTCTGTTCTACAGCTGTATCGACTTGTGTTCTATTGTATTGTTAGAGAAAGGTGTTGCACAGGAAGGTGCTTGTGTCGATACTGTGTCACCTGTGTCTCTTATTAGAAGAAAGCTATTATCTTTCTAGTGCTGCCATGTGTTATGTTATTTACAGCATATTATCATAAAAAGGAATGATGAAGAAGAATATTATTGAAACATTTACTTCATGTACATTAAAAAGCACTAGAAAATAAGACATTTTTACTCTTTTAAATGCAGCAAGTGTCTCTTATCTTTGAGTTTAAATGTGCAAACTGATTGCAAATTAAAATTGAGATTTGATAAGGCTAAATAAAAAATCATTCATACACATAGAACTATACTTACAAATTTTGTTTATGATCTCATTACACGATGATTATTCATTATGTGATTGGTATTGATGTTTCTTCCAGTTCCATTGTCTCCTCCAGAATGCTTCTGCAATACATTAGGTATATAAAACGATATAATTACGATGTAATTGTTTCAGATGTTACACAGAGCCTGATCCTGATAACATACTATGTTGAATTAAAGCGCTCTGATCAGATGAAGTTTCAAATTTGATTTCACCTGAGCTCCATGAGATTTTAGCCTGTATTTTGAACTCGTTTTATCGATAAAAGTGTCTCTAAGAGTAATTGAGGAACCATTTGATTAGCTGAGAAGCCACATTTAAAGCATTTTTATTGATAAAAGAGAATAAGTCAGAATATGGTGATTTGTAAGAGCTATCACTATGATTGAAATAAGTTTTCGATCTGTTCAATTCATATTAATCACTACTATTTTTCTGAATGATAAGAGATATCTCTTTGATAGCAAATAAAACAGACGACGAGTTTGTCGTTGAGCATGAAAACTAAATTTTTTTTGCGATCTTTCCTTATGTAATTGAAAGGTAAAGCAAATGTCATACGTGTTACGAGAATGTTATCGCCTCGAATAATCGATAGACTCGTGTGAATGGATAAAAATATCTTACTTCTTTTACATAAAAACGAAATGTCAGTCAATTTTTCATAATTCTTTTTCTTCGAATTGAAAGCGATAAAAGGGCATGTCTCTTCGAAAGTCAAAAGCACTAATTTATATTTTTATATTTATTAATTCGTACGAATTATCAGATTCTATTACACACACTCTCTCTCTTCTTCTCCCTCGATTACATTCTGACTTCCGTAAAATATCTTTTTATTTACATTTTCATCTCTTCGTCCAATCCTTTCTTCTCTCCTCCAATTGCAATATTCATTATCTCGTCCCAAGCGTGCAAATGTGAGAAACGATACACGTAACATGTAAAAACAGACATTTCGGCAAATCGCGCTCGTTTTCGAATCGACAGACTTATTTTGCGCGCACGCGCACAGACGCGCGAGAAAGTGTCCGCTACACGAGTTTTCTAACCTCCATATTTAATCGCTCGTGAATCACGGAAAAATGAAAGCGAGAGCGCAAAACGTCGCAATTAATACTCGAATGCGAGGTCCCGCTGAGACAGAATCACCATCGCTTTTCTTATCACACGCGCAATCCGCGCCGATCGCGCTCATCGCTGATATCGATGCGTGCGAAACGCACCTTCGCAGCATCACGACTGTGATATTAAAATCGCAGTCACATTAATCAATTAATCGACCTTGCGTTCAAATTAAACGGCTGCCGCGTTTCATCATTCTTAACATCACATTGCAAAAGATTACGCGCGTCTGTCGGCGAAATCAACCGAGCGAGTGATGCCATCAGCTGATGTATACATCGTGGAGATTAAACGGAGCTTCACTTTCCGGTCGGTGAATTTCCAACGGACTCCCTTGCCGTCCGCAGAGCGTCGACTCCGCTGCGCGCTCTCCGCAATTAATTTCCGCGATTAATCTGTCCCGCCGGAGCATCGTTTTACCTTTGTTGTTTGACGTTCACCTCGGTTGCAATCAGCGTGGACGCCGAGGGCGTTCAGGCCGGAGCGTCGCTCCTCGAATGCGTTGCCGAGGCCGGGAAAGTGCAGTCACATCGTGATCGACAACGCTGTGAGCCGAAGTATGACCAAAACAACGACGGGGAACCATTGCACACGAGCGATGCAGGATAGACAAACTCAAATGGCGGTCGAGAGCTTTTGGTTTTGCTCCCACGGCGAGCAATCAGGGTGCACTGCTGTCGCAAAGAATGAAGTATTCCATCTGATGAAAGCGGAGTCTACAATAAGAATTTAAGCTCTAAGCCCTAAGAAATTGACCAATCACAATCGAATTGTAGAAGAATAATCAATAGTGATTGGTCAATTTCTTAAGGCTTAAAGTTTAATACTCTATTGCAGACTTAGTCTTAGATAAAATTGACTTTTACCAACTCCGGTTAATAACATAGAGATATAAGAATAGAGGGAACAAGGGATATATGCTACCTGTAAGTGGAAGTGATAGAGGCAAAGAAAGAGATGGATGCCGAGTGTCCTGTCTCTTTCTAGTCACGCGCTGGGATTGGCTGCCGCGCCAACGACGATATAGCTATACATTTTTCTCCATCCAATTCAAAGAAACTGTCATTGCTAAAATGATCATTGCAAATATATGCTGTTTTCACTTCAAAATACAAAGGTAGTTGAAGTATATTCAACCATTTACGCCTTATATCTACATCCTTCGGTAGCCTACAACATTTACATATTTTTTTAAATGTAGGAAAAAATAACATAATTATTTGAGGTTACGTATTTGTACTTTCTTACGAGTGAAAACTGCGGTTACATCCAGGATAAGACTCCGCCTTGCATTTCAAACAATGCCTCATTTTTAAACAAATCGCGTCCAATTATTATTTTGTTAACGTTCGAATATTTAACGAATTTTAATTCTACACACATGTGCACGCATATTTACAAAACGAAATTTTAGTCTGCTTTCTCCCCTCCTGACGTCGCGTGGTCGTCTTGGCGGCTCATTGTAACAACCAATCACAGCGCTCAACTAGAAAGAGACAGATAGGACACTCGGCATCTATCTCTCTCTTTGCCTCTATCACTTCCACTTACAGGCTTGTTCCCTCTATTCTTATATCTCTATGGGTTAATAAAGTTGATAAAGGGTAATTACAAGGGACGGGCAAAATCATCGATGTTTGAATGATATCGATGTTCGTTCATTGAGGACGATATTACATTTAGGAGAAATGTTAGAGACTCTAGAAATTCTCTAATGCTTTGTGTTCTCGCCGCACGGGGTCTCTAGAGTCAAATCAGGATTTGCTTCTGGCTCTTGTAGGTCTTTATAAACTTTCATTTAAGTATTCATAGGAATTAAACGGAAGTTTGTGTGATTACATTGTAATTCGATTACATTTTAATTCGATGTAAATATTATTAAATCGTAGAACAATAGGAGCGATAGGAGTAGTTGATGAAAGTATTTCACTAGTTAAGTCTTTAATAAAGTAAAATTTACCCAGTAATTTATTTATTAAAAATTTATTTAGTAAAAGTTACGTGATTAAGAAAATAAAATTAGTTAGAAAAACAAATAGTAAGAAGAATAAGAAGAGATTGGATAGGCAATAAGTATAAATTGGACTATGAAATATTAATGTATATTTTACGTATGCTTGTTAATTGAATGTGAAGATGATGCCTGGCAAAGCACCAATACAAGGTAAAAATTTACTGATATAATTTGAATTGTCTTCATGTAAACACAGTCAAGGCTTAGCAAACTGCTATTCCTGTTTTTTTTGCAGAAAATCCTTTAGGTCTGTCCTGGCATGATAGTGCCTGGATTCCTGTTCTCAATCCAAGCAACATCATGGATTACTTTTCCGAAAGAAGTAACCCATTCTATGACAGAACTTGTAATAATGAAATAGTAAAAATGCAACGTTTAAGTCCTGATCAGTTAACGTATGTCCTATTTATGTTAATGTAATATAATTATTGTTATTACATGAGCATTGACTATCATTGCATTGCTTTCTAGTAATATGACTGGCTTAGAATATATACTGTTGCATGTGCAGGAGCCAATCCTTTATGTAATTAGAAAACAGCACAGGCATTCACCAACTGCTGCAACTCCTCTTGCTGACTATTATATCATAGCTGGTGTTGTATATCAAGCCCCAGATCTAGGATCCGTTGTAAGTTCCAGACTGGTAAGTAAAAAACATCTACTGTTAAAATCTTGTCCAATAATGTTTGGCAATATTTTGTGTTATTTTTATATAGTTGAAGGAACTATGTTTCCAATTTTTTTTACTTTACCATATTTCAACATATAAAATTCTAACTTAAGATACTTTAAAGTGATATATCTCAAAAACTATATCCCTACATATAGTTCATGGGAATAAATTGAATTTTACTCTTTAAAATGTATCTTAGAAAACAAAAAAGATCAGTGAAGTGTGAACTTTTTTTATATATTTATCAAACCAGATTTTTTTTCTATACCTTTAAATCTATATGTTTTTGTATCTTATCTAATTGGTATAATATTATAAATTTTATATTATATTATTATTATGGGAAATGTATATTGTTGTGTAGTTTTCCGCAGTCCATCATCTACAATCTGCTTTTGAGGAAGCTAGTTCCTATTCTAGATACCATCCTAGTAAAGGCTACTCTTGGGACTTCACAAATGGCAAGGCCTGGGCTACAAAGGAGCCAGTACGTGAGGAGCCGAGCTCGTTGTTTCAGCGGCAGAGAGTGGATATGCTACTTGCAGAGCTCACTCGTAAATTTCCTTTGCCAGTGGCAAAACCAGTACACCAAGCAACAGAAACTTGTATATAACATTCATCTTATTTTTCAATTTATTCATTTATAATTTAATATATATAATGGAACATTAAAACTAGTTGTGTATGTTTAATATTGCTTAACCGCTTTATCGCTTACAGCTATTGAAATTAAACAAGAACCGAAAAGTGAAAAAAAAGAAATGAAACCACCACCGGAAAAGAAACCGAGATTAAATTAAGAAATAAAAGCTTGTAAAATATATTTGTGTAATTTGTAACATTGCTAAGTCAAGACATTGTAAAATATATTTATGTGAAATTTTTATATTTTGTAAGACAACACATAATATTTGTTTATTGCTCTTTTACAATATAGTCCAAGTAAATATAAAGAATAAACGATATTGAAGAAAATTAAGTTTATCTTGATATTCTCACTCATGACTTTTCTAATGGTCTGATTATCTCTGTACCTTTTGTTTGCACGTTTACAAATTATTTCGTGAGTCTATGAAAATTGCTTTCTGACAAATTTGAAATGTAATAGTCCCAAGTACGGCTAGAAGTTTGTATGATATTCAATACAAGAGATAATTCACAAGATTTGTATGAAGACTGATTGTTTTTAAGACATGTTTTTAATAACATAATTACGTATTTATCTTTGAAATTATAACTTTTATACGAGGGTCAATTGAAAGGTTTCTAGCCTGATCAAGGAAACATTTTTTGGGCAATATGAAATTTATTTTTCAACATAAAAAGTAATTCGAGTATTATAAAAAACAAATAATAATTCAAGATAAAAGCTTTCATTTCAGATCATTTGTATAAAAAAAACAAGTTTAGATGACCTTGTGTTTAGAAAACAAGTAATTTTGAGAGAAGCCTTTATTTCCTAACTCGTACATACATGTTCCCCCTTTATGTGTGAATAATTATTTAAGATTTTTTTTAACATTACATATATATATCAACGTTTATTTATATATTGGATTACGTAATAAGTACCACAATGCAAACTAAAAACCAATATATTTTTAAATGGTCAATCGATTTCCAATTTTCGGAATGTACCAGTAACTCCGAATAAGTCATTCGGATTTATTACAGAATCAGTTCGCAGGGACTCGTTGGTCTTGAGTTTTTCCTGTGCCAGTAACCATTCCCTTCGTTCCATTAGTTTCGCTCGCCACATATCTAGAATAGTGAAAGAATACCGTCAGATGAAACTATAAAATTTTTAATCGTTTTTTGTTTCACCGAAAAATGAAACACTTAGATTTCATTGTTTACATATTACCGAATTTGCACGCCGTAAAAATAAATATTGTTGTTTTTATATATTAAGAAAGGGCAAAAAATGCTATGAAAATGAGATATTAAGTAAAAATTGTAATCATACTTCTCTATTCTGTAAGACTTGACTTTTCGCTATTTAAATATTAAGGGGTGTTCTCAGATTGTGGGCTTCAAGAAGTCGATTTTGTTTCTTGCATTTTCTTAAAGATTGAAATTTTTAAATTCATACAAGAGCCACATTCATACGGATTAAGAATTTTCTTGAAAATTTGGCTTATCTATGTCTAGAACAGGAGGTAACTTGCCAATCATCCGTGCAAATCTTTTCGAGGCGCCATATTATGACTCGGCCTGCGATTCGGCAACGAATATACAATATGTAGCTTCGAAAAAAATCACGTTGTGGGAAATATAAATAAATATACCTACAAAATTTCAAATCAATCAGAGTAATAGTTTCTTCAAAAAAGAATCTCGAAAAACACGCACTTCTCAAGTTCATAGCCAGCGAGAGCCTCTCTTATATCTATAAAATCGTTAATAAATTAACGTTCTCTTATTATCGATGATCGTACCTGTTAGAGTGTCCATTGATGCTTCCTCACCACCATAATCTGCAGGTAAAATGGATTTCGGTATATCTTCACACACTGATTCTATTCCGGATGTAAGAAATCGTAACTAAAATTATCACCAGGTTAAAATCTTACAAAGTAAAAATACCTTACTCAAAAATTGAAAGATCTTTCATTCTATCAAACACGAGACAAAGTGAAAGTCATATAGTAGATGCACATTAAATTTTTACAATGTCATTTTATACTTACTCTAGCAAAAAGTTTTGGTTTTAGAACCATTTTAAAGATCGATGCTAACTGCTCGATGTAAGTCGGTGCATTTATGAAATAAACTGCTTTGTATCTTTTACCGTATGCTTGCTGAAGAGTTCAAAATTACTAATTAATTTGAGCATGATATTATACAGGGTAACTTCTAAATAAGTACAAGTAAGGCATGCGTATGAGTAAACATATTAAATTTTTTAATTAAAGAATGGTATGCTATTTTTTCCAAATTTAGTAATTTTCTTGAAATCTCAAACTAAAATACTTTGATATCATATGTACGCACTCCAAATTTAAATAGAACATCTTCAAACGTTTTCTAGATTCTTGAAATTTTAATTTTTTTTTCAACCTTGACACCCTGTATTTTGAAAATAAAGCACCTTAAGACATATGTTTATGAAACGTTTTCTTTATAAAATAAACCAAGGAATATTCCTTTACATTTTTTGTACTTTTCTTTAGAAATCATTCTATATGATATATCAGAATATGTACCATGCTGAGGTCACATTTCTTCATGATGGTTGGCGAATATTTTAGTATATGACTCAAAGTGAGATGAGTGCAATCCATAATGCTAATTTCAGGAATAGCTGTATCTTCCTCTGCACGTATGTTCGCTATTATGAATAAGTATCTACAACGTTAGAAAAGTTATAAGTTACTGTTATTGTTGGAAAGTAACTCGTCATTTTTATTAATAGTGAAGAAATAACGAGTTTTGTCACAATTTCCATTATATTTTCTGTAAGTTTTGAAGACTTTCTAAGATTTGCTGCTGCCTGTTACTCGTACGAATAATAAAATCCTGATCAACAGTAATGTATTACTGACCAATTTATCATAGACAGTAATACTTTTCTATAAGGATTGCGAACATCTCAATAGATTGTGTTCACAAAATGTTGTACACGAATATTTGCACATGAAGGAGCTTTCAGCGCGATAGGTGCCACATTTGCTAACGGTCGATCAGAAACATATTCGAATGAATGTTTTTCAGGAATGCTTATAAGGTGTTAAAGTCTACTTGCGAGCTGATGCAAAAGCTTGCTTCTACTCGCTAATTCCGTTCTTAAGTCACCTAAGAGCAAACTTAGAAAATACCTTACAAGATGCAAAAATAACTATGAAATCCGATAGCTTGGCTCTTACGCATGATAGATCAATGTTTCTTGCGCAATTTTAAAGGGAAACTTTTCTAATTCAAAATTTATGTGGTGATATTTTTCGCCTCATCCTTACTTCTTTCGTAGGAGACTACAAAATGGTAAAATTTCTAGGATTTTTTAACGATGTGATTTTTAGTCCTCCCAGAAAAGATAGTTCGATGGCGTGAGCAATGTCACCATACCTACCTTAAAGTCGGAACTTTGAAAATGCACTAAGAAAAATTGTCCTGCGATCTCTTTAACCTGAGATTGTAGCCTCCTAAAGCGTTCCCCTAATTGTTTTGTATAATGTATTTGGAGAATATCCTTCATCTTGAGAATATTGTCACAAATTTTCAAATATAATCCCAAAAACAACCTGGTAGGATCAAGGATATTCCAATAGGAAATCGTGAAATGCCAACAGATGTTTGAATTTACTTTTGTAATGTCCTGTGATTTACTACGAGTAACAATAAGTCTCTCATAATGCAATCGTGCTTCCATTGCTACGACAATATATCTTCATATATCACGTATATCTTTGTGACAAGAAGTACATGAAGTATTCGAGAAGAGAATGAAATTTTACTGTCTTTAAAAAGCCAATATAATATATATTTGCCTGTTTAATTTGTACGTACTTCATCAAATCTGCGACATTAAATGACGAGGTGTCCTCACTTATCCATCGGCCAACAGTGACTCTACATTTTTCCGGCGTTAATTTTGGTAAAGCTACAAATTGTCTGAAAGGCACATATATTTTTAAAAGCATATTTAACATAGGAATAAGAAGTTTTATAAAAATATTAATTGAATTATATTTATTCTGCATTTATTTTGTTAAATAATGTATATATATATATATATATATATATATATATATATA